AAACTTTGATTTTTGCTCAAATTTGTGTTGGATTTTGGTATTTTACAGAGCAAAATATGCCTATTTAAAAGTTAAAAAAAAAAAAAAAACTATTTATTTATTTTTTCATCATTTATTTTAATTTATATATCAGCATTTTCACAAATTTAACATTTTTGATTTGCTGAACAAAAACTGTCACAGCTCTTTGTACTAATTGCTGTGTTGTCTTTCCGTCTCCTGTTATAATTGGATAAATCCAGTAAATATCTTATACAATGGTGACTTCAGACTTTAAATAAAATAACCTGATATCAGTAGCACATGGACTTGGGATGTGTTTAAAACTGTATAATTGGGGTTCTAGCCACATTGCATAATCTGTTAGTTATTTGGCAACTTTAACCTCAAAATATTTAGCCTATAATATTTTTTGCATCAACAAATTTATAGGCAATATAGGTAATAGTTATTATTAAGAACACATTTGTACGATTAACTTTTTTATCTTTAGTTCTGATTTTTAAAAATATATGCATGAGCGCGTGTGTGAATTCTGGAAAACATGGTGACCCCCTATTCATGATATCAAAAACAGGGTGACACCCCCCCTCCCCATTTGCACAATCAAAAACATGCCCCCCCCCCCCCCCCGCCGAAGTAACTGACCACTCTCTTATGTACACAATTATTTTTTTGGATATTAAAGTCTGTAAATAAACGGCTAGAATATCAGCACCAGACGTATAATATTGTTTTTAGGTACATCATGGAGGTAGTTCTACCTCCATGGGTACATGTACTTCAAATGGACGATAGAATAGAATAGAATAGAATAGAATAGAATAGAATAGAATAGAATAGAATAGAATAGAATAGAATAGAATAGAATAGAATATTTGACTCGAAATAATGTAAGAAATTACATTATAAACAAACTTGAACGCTCCGAAGGTTCCTTATCATTTGTATTTTTCGTCTTGCCATTCTGTATGTATTTGAAACTTTTTTGTATTTTAAAAATCCAGATCCTGAACAGGATATGATTTCAATAAAGGCATTACTTACTTACCATTAGGTTGATCCGAAATGCGTTAATGAATGTAACATTTCTGTGTCACTCACCTTTACCAGGTGATTAACATAAGCTCATATTTCGCCAGGAATGTTCAGAATCGATGAAAGAAAATTTAAAATAACATCTCGTCTTCTTCGTTGACAAAACCGGAAGAGGAAGTCAATAGCGACCTTTAATCTTTGACCTTTGACCCGTTCTGTAAAAGCTCGCTCTTATGTTTTTGAAACTCTTCGTGTTTATCACGACCGATTAGTATAAGTTGTCACGTGTATCCAATGTGGTAATCGTATCGGACTGTTCACTTGCGGAAAGAGCGACGAAAAATCACATTGCAGATTCCGACCTAATACTCGCCCGACAGTGAGTCTCGCCGTCTGCTAGTGGGCGTTGACTGACCTACAATTACAATTCTTTTCTAAATATTCATTTACATTCTGATGGCATCTTGTGCGAGTGACGATAATTTATCACGACAGGTGAGCTATGGTTTACCAACTAATATCAACAACAAGGATATTGTTTGTATGTACACTACATGTCCTGAACACGTACGGTATACATTGTTTAAAGTACCGTCGTCCATATGGCGAAATAAACATATCTAAGATTAACCCTGCGTATATGTCTGTTGCACAGGACATACGATTTAAGTATGGCTGATAGGATCTAGCAGAAACAATAGAATAATTGCTTACAGCTTAGTCATCCATTTTGAGTCTAAATATTACTTAAAAATAATTAAAAAAAAACTCCCGAAATGCAGCTGTTAGGATTTGCTAGATCGTCATACTCAGATCGTCAGGCCCATGTTGGCTATTGTAAGGGTGATATTTAGATTAAGACTTGGCAGCATCCCATTTACGTAATTTGGGTGCCGACAATCACCCGATGAGAACAAGCACCTCCACATTAACAAACCTTTACACAGAGCTCTAAACTAAATTATGTGTCAATGTCATTGATATATTCAATACAGATTTAGAATTTATGTTACTGCAGTAACAATATATAAAATAATGAAAGATATGTATC